TACCTGTGGAATTTATTTAAAAGCATTAACTTTAAACTTTCGAATAAATTATTTTTGCGATAACTTACTGCTTATTTTGGTTACATCATTCGTATCCGATGACATTGATTCATCTTCTAGTTATTAATAGAAGATATATTAATTTAATATTTTAACTGTGCTAAATTTGAAAAGTAACGGTTCATGTACCATCGGAATTAGCTTCGGATGAGGAGGTGTACTGTATTTGTGTTCTTTCTTTTTTTTTATGTGACCTATTTATTTTGATATTCCGCTTTCTTTTTTTTGATTTCTTTAAAAAGAAATTTCTTGTAAATATGAAGAATAATTTTATAAACTTAATCAAAATTTCTTACCGATTTCTTAATACGCAAAGGTTTACTGTTCTTTTCCAGGGGCAGCGAATCATCAGACTGTTCCTTGAATTTCGTGCTAAGTCAGGAATATTCAAATGTTAAGTTTTTGAAAGAACAATTTATACCTGTTGATCGTCAGTTTCTACTTGAATTTCAGATAGTTGTTCATTAACTTTCGATGATTCACTATTATCATCAATAATCTCATCCTCGGAGTCATCAATTTGTGATGAGTTTCCTTGCTAAGTTTTAAAAATAATTAAATATCTGATAATGTCAAAATACTATAAAAATATTTAATTACTTGATCCTTGTGGGTATTTTCTCGAAAATTCACAGCTTGCTAAAGAAATTCAGCTTTAAGTTAGCATAGACAAAATTTAAAAACTAAAATAAAAAACTATTACATTTCTTTTCGTTGCTTTAAAAAATTTGCTTATAGATTTTTGATTATCTTCGCTTTGCTGGGCTGTATTTGTTTCCTTTTTTTTAATTTTATTAAGTTTATATTAATGATTATTGAAGCATTCAATTGTATTGATTTTTTATAATGACGTCAATAGATTAACTTAAGTTTAAAATAGAAAATTCTTACAATATTGTCACTTGGAATTAAAACGATGGGATATTGATTACTCGATGCATTTGCCATTTCAATGTATGTATGCTTTAAATTACCAAAAAAAAAACGGTTAAACCGTTATCTGCTAAATTCGATTATTAAATACGTAGATTTTACCTGATTATCTTGAGAATCGATTTGTTCATTATATTGGTCTAGAGACATTGCAGATTT